ACGAATAATAATAATAATCCGAGCAGTTCCAAGAGGGTCTTCGCACCCTTTTGGGTGCTCGGACCCTAATAATAAATAATAATAATAACAATAATCACAACGGTTACAATAGGGTCCTTGCACTGGTGTGCTCGGACCCTAACAAGCACCAGTGTTCATTAGTCATTTTATTTATTCCCTTTAATAATTTCCAGAACTAGAACCAAAGCATGAAAACAGAAGCTGCATTTTAAAACCACACATAAAATTAGTCCAACAACAGTCCCTTAAAAACTAAAAACCAAACCGCTTATTGCTCCCAGTTTGCACTGCGAACCTGATGAAGTTTCACGTGTTTACTGGTGTGAAAGAAGCTTTTCTAACCCACACATCAGGTGAGTAAATCACACAGGCGGAGGAAAAGGCAACGTGAACATGAGGATGCTGGTCAGCTGCTGCACATCTGGACAGAAAACGCTGAACGCAGATGTTCAGCAGCTCATACTACGAGGTCAGGTGGTGGGAAAATATCATCAAAGCCCTTGATTTCTTATTTTTTGTCACTTAACTTGGAGTGTAAATGATTAAGACCCTTTGAACTCGTGACAAACGAAACATTTCAGTCATAGAAAACCTCCTCTGAGAACATCATTTCCCTCCTGAATCTAAAAAAAAAAAAAAACACTCAGTGTGCTTCGACTTTGCTGAGAGGAGAGAGGTACCGATGAAATAACTTAGCAAGTTCATTTTAAAAATATAAACTCCGTTGTTAACTCGAAAACACAGCAAATAGAAACAAAAGGTGCAAAAACAAGCGATGCGTCCTGAAGCTGCACGTCAAACACAAGCAGCAGGTTGTTTTTTTTTTAAACAAACGTGAGTAGCTTTTGGTCGACACTTGTTCAGACTGAGCTGAGGAATCCTCTTCTTGCTCTCCGACAGCAGGCGGAGCTTTTTCCCTTCAACAAAACACATCTTTCGGTGACGTCGGTCCGTTCTGCTCGCTGGCGGTGACTCACCGAGTCAACATGAATCACCGTCTGCGAGCCTGAAGCAGCACCAACTGCTGAACTTTTGCCCGTTTCGAGTTAGCTCGGGCACTTAAATAAAAACACACAAAAGCAGCTGCAGTGGCAAAAAACTCTCCTGATGAGTTGCTGGAGAAGAGCTTTAGGAGCTGAGTTCACTTGGTGAAGCCTACAAAGGAAAACTACTTGTGAGGCTGTGCAGGTAACACTGAGGCTGTCGGGTCACTTCCTGGTCACACCTTCAGTCGCTCTGTTGCCCAGCAGCAGCTCAACAGTTCCCTCTTCTGCATGTGATTAAAAAAAAAAAGCACCTCTTTGCTGCTGCTGCTGGTTTTTCCTGCAACAAAGAGCAAAATGCATCCTGAAGTGTGCGCTCCTCGGCTGGAAAGGCCTCAGAGCAGCGGGGCGTTGAAGGAGGCCGAGTCCACCGGGCCGGAGCTCTGGAGCTTGGTGGTGTTGGAGCCGCAGTCGATGTAGCGGTACGCCTCCAGGCTGTTCTGGGACGTCCGCACCATGTACGAGGTTTTCACCGACGTTCTGAAGAGAGATGTGAAAGGAAAAACCGAGATTAAAGCTCAGGATGTGGCTGCGGAGGAGGTTTCTGCACCAACCTTCTCACAGCTCGTTAGTGTGACAGCTAACGAGCAGCGGGAGGGAAACTGCACCTGCACAAACTGTGATCTACACAACTTACAATCATAGTTCATTTGTGTAAATTACAATATGAGTGGTAGAGAGTTGGCTAACAAATAGAAGTGCTTGTTCACACGGTTTGACCGAAGGATTGACACCTCGGTGGTTTGTGTGATAACATCATGAGGTTACATGACTGTCGGTGACACTTCAGATGACAATGCTGCTATTTTTACTCATCAAAGCCAGAAATTATTCATTTGTTTGTTTTGCAATGAATTTTTAGTATGTAGTTATTTCTAGTGTGTCAGTGAAGCCTTACAGTTTAATTTTCTTACAAAAAAAAAAGGGGGGGGGGAAATAGTAAAAGCACATTATTATTATTTTTATTTTTCTTATTATTACCGTAACTTCCGGACTATAAGGCGCTTTTCTTTTCACACACTTTGAACGCTGTGGCTTAAACAATGAGATCTTTCTGTGTTCCAACGTGGACGCCTGCAGCTTGTAGACAAATATGGCCTGGATATGCAAACTGGAAAAACTGGTTTCCTTTTTAAAGTTAGCGGGTGCAGCTTACAGTCAGGTGTGCTCAGTAGTCCAGAATTTACGGTATTTCTGCATTCTTCAACAAAATACACTCGTTTCTTAAGTGTTTTTACGGCATGTTTTAGGGCAGAAATGTCGTCATGAGGTGAAAGTTTTTGCAGACTTAACAGCTCAACTTGAGGCTGTGCTAACAATACTACGTATATACTTGTGTTTTTATTAATCAGTCAAACACTTACTGCATGAACACGACGATGTTGTGCACCTTGATGCTGGGCATGGTGCAGAAGGCGCTGGAGGAGACACAAAACAGAAAAAGGTTTTAGAATATCGATGCTTTTGCTTTCTGCTCCTCCTGGTGTGATTTTTGTTTCAGGCTTGTCGGGACACTCACTAGACGTACGGCGCGCTGCTGCCGATGGCCACGCTGACCGTGTAGTTCACCTGCAGCAGACAAAGTTTGACAGGATGTTATTCAGGTGGAAGGAGGAGAAACTTGATGGCACGTATATCTGACAAGCCGAAGCAAATGAGGCGGTTTTTCTACTGAAAGGAGAATTAAAAGACCAGAAGCGTTTAAGTCGGTTTCACAAACATTCCAGTCAGTTCCGTCCGTAAACAAAAATCCTCAAAGTCAGAGCCGCAAAAAGAAGAACTGAAAATACTCAAGTCGTTTCCTGTAAACATGGGGTTCTTTAGATTTGGACAAACGCCACCGGAAAAAAAGAGGAAACGCTCTGGAGGCTATTTTTAGGGGCAGATCCGACGGCGTGTGACGTGCGCTGAAAGAACGTGTCAGCCGGTGCAAACAAACCGTGCAGCTCGCTCTTTGTTCTCGGCTCAACAGAACGCATCAGGAACACACAAAACCTGTCGCACAGCTACCGATGTTGGCTTCGGCCTTTTGATGACAACAGTCAGGATGATAACGTGACGCGAGCTTTAGCAGCAGGAGCAGAGCCGTCTGCAGCCTGTAGCAGGAAGTGGCGTGTTTTATGTAACCACCAGCAGTGTTTACAGTGAAACAAGACACACGTGTGCTATTTTAAAGTATTTACAACCCGCGTGTTGGGGGTTAGATGAGTTAGAGTCCTTATTGGCAGGTTTTACCCACAAATACATAAAAGCTGCTTGTAGAGAATCACCAGTCAAATCTGATAATAAATGTTAAGTTTGGTGGCTTTGCTCTAAAAGGTTATAAATAAGTATTTTATCTCTTACATGTGAAAGTTATTTAAAGCCAGAGTTTGAGGAACCAAGTTAAGGTGCAAGAAGAAAAAAGATGGTGCTGGTATAGGATTAAAAAAAGAGCATTAAAAAGGATAAATAGAGCATAACAGTTAAAAAATAAGCATCCAGGAGGGGAAATGTTTGGACCCAGGAGCTCATCCCACCAGAACTCCTGAACGTATCTCATGCTAATTCATGCTAGCACCAACACGCTAGCCCCCTGCAGCATCCATACGCCTCCTTAATGACAAAACAAACTGTGCTCTTGTGTACAAAAACCCTTCCCAGTTGTTATAAAGCAAAAAAAAACGTGGGTTTTGAAAGGAGAAGCTTGTCTAACGTCTGTGGCAAGGTGTAGGGATATAAAGGTCCGGTTTGGCCCGACCTGGATGGTGCTGAGCGGCTTGATGGTGGTAGCGTTGTCCAGCTGCTGGGTGCCGATCACCGTCCTCATGTAGAGCACCTGGCAGCTGACGCTCTGCACCAGCACCGAGAAGAAGTTGGGGTTGCTGAAGTTGAGCGTGCTCTGATGGGAAGAGAAAAAAAACCAGAGTTAATGAGCATGAAAGGTGCAGAAAACACAGGAACCTGTTGTGTCAAACCGTCCACCAGCTACAGATCATAATTCTTGTTTTTATTTAATCAGCTGCCCTCTGGAGGTCACACACTGTGTTGGGATGAACTGCTTTGTCGTAATGACGCTCCTCAAACGTCCACATTGTGGTTTGTGGAGCAAAATGAGTCCGTTCACCGTCGGCGGTTGAAGCTTGTTCATACTCGCTGGCGACGCTGTGACGTAGCTGCACAGAGGATTGTGGGTAAGAAGAGTCAGAGGAGCGTGCTGGCTTCAAATCAGCAGGTGTGGTAGGAAACCCTGGGACTCTTGGCATGTTGCATTTGACATACTGTGTTTGAAATAAATATTTACAGCTACATGTGCAGCGCTGAACACATTTATTAGAGCACCTGTCTGACGTGTTAAACACTGTGTGTATACATATATAGACCATCCAGCATCATGAAGGGCTTTAATTCACACTCAGCTCTCAGCGTTTGAACAGGAAGGAGGAATTTCAAACTGAATTCACCTTTTTATGCCCAAATCTGAGCCTCTGAACTGATTTTTCTGTTCAGAAATGCAAGTAAATAACTATAATTTGACATCTTAGACAAGAAACAATAATAATAATAATAATAATAATCATAATCATAATCATAATCATAATCATAATAATGATCATGTGCTTTACTATTTTTTCTGGGGTTTTTTGTAAAACAGTAAATCTGAAAATTCCTGGATAACAACAATAATTACATTTTAGCATTAAAAATATGATTTGGGTTAAAGAGCTTCTACACACTGAAACATAACCATAACAAATGATTTGTTCATTCGGGGCAGCTGTGGCATAAAGCTGACACTGGGTGGAGGTCTGATACAGTTTATTTATTTATTCATAGCCTCCCGTTAAAGACGGAAAACAAAAGCTTCAGTCACTGAAATAACGTAAAATTGACAAAAGTAGTAATAAATAAAAATGTAAGAACATCATGACGCTGCTTTTGAATTGTGGTTCAACAGAAATACATTTTTTTTAAAAAGGAAAACACGCATGATTGACCCCATAAACTGAAACCAAAAACAACCCTCTGAGCATTCAGGTGTTTCCTGTAACTCTCAGTCAGACTTGTGCACCTGTTGACAGGTGTTCTGGACCACTGCTCATCAGCAAAGGCCTCTCATTTAACAGTTTTGTTTGTTTTTTCAAATTATTCTTTTCTACCACAGTTCAAAAGCAATGTCTTATTTCCCTAAATTATAATTTAGAAAATTTTTATTTATTATTCTTTTTTCAGTTTCTAGTTATTTGAGTGAATTTTGTGAGTTTTGCTTTTTCTTTATTCTTTAATGGACGGGGATGAAAACATCTGAGGACGACTGTACAGCAGAGAATCAGGCGAGTTAGATTTTTTAAATTTAATTCCTTTGCGCACTAATTAACCGTCTTCTTGCCTTTAGGGGGACAAACTAGATCGTACTCTACGGGATGGAAGCACAGACATCACAACGCAGCCTTTTTGGCTCTTATCCGAATGTGACATCTCACTTTTGTATTTGATGATGTTGCCGAGCAACAGAGGCTCCGCCCACAGGAAGGAAAACAGCAACGGTTCATGTGAACAGCATCGACTTAGACATCACGTCTCCAGAAATACACCCACTGAGGTTACAGGAGGTCGACGGCTGTGAAAAATGTGCATAAAAAACGAGGAAGTGGCAAAAAGCCTGAACATGAAAGTGTTGTTTACGAAACTGCATCTATCCCATAATAAACAACAGTTTCTAGTCGCTGTGTCTCAACGGTTCGTCTGATGCATTTAAAACTTGGCTGGTGGTTTACTGAGGAACCACAGAGGTGCAGTGAGGAGTTTGGAGCAGATCAGATGAGGACTGACTGTTTTTCAGGTCGTCTTTGGCTGCCTGTGGGTGGAGGCCTCGTTGCTGCCATCAAACAGCAAACACATGACATCAGGGATCAAAAGGGCGTCAACATCAGAGCTGATCTCTGATAGCCATGTACAGCACAAACAACAAACTTCCCCTCAGGGTTCACATTTTACACTCTGACGAAGCAGAAAACATGACGGCGTTGACGTTTTATCAGCTGACATGTTTACATCATGTAGCACACAGGAGAGAAAACACAAGCAGTCAGTTGATCTGCAGATTATCTATGGATTTATCGATCTGCTGTCAGGAAGCGGCGAATAATCGCACTGTCCCAGAGTCATCTTGACACTGAAGCTGCTTGTTTAAACTATTCAGTATGACAGAGAAAAGCACGAAGCCTCCACCTCTGAATAGACAGAGCGCGGGAATGTTCGGCATCTCAGCTCGCTCATCAGTCCTCCAAGTAAACACAAACCGCCTGAATGACCCCGTCAGCTCCAGTTTGGGAGGAAAAAACACAAAAACAAGGACGACTTGCTGCACGCAAACCTACCGTCATGTTCATGAGGACCCTGGTGTTGTCGTGGTCGAAGCGCACCGTCACCGAGCGTATCCCGGCGTCCACCACGACCACCGAGCGCGGGAACAGGAAGAAGGCGACCAGCGAGGAGGCCAGCAGGCAGAGCACCACCGACAGCACCACATACTGCTTCCTGCACAACATGCAAACACACGGTCAGCTGATAGTAGAAATGCAGCTTGTTCATCAGGACGTGGTGGTTCTACTCACGTTCTTTGGGGCCGGAGCCGCTGGTCGCTGTACGGGATCAGCGCCACCAGTTCATTGACTTGGCCTGTAAAGGAAGAGACACCAGAACATGAACATCCAACATGCAGCTGGATTTAACATGAAAACCAACTTAAAGG